AATGCTTGTTCCGAAAATCATAGCTAATAAATCCTCAAGAATACAACACTAATGATATTAATTATAGCACCAGCAAGTAATCGGATATTTACAAATTTAGTAGGCAAGTTTTTCCTTACTACACGATTTTACTCTACATCTACGTCTGCCATAAACTTACCTGCTTTTCCTGGAATTGATCACCCCATAATCTTGATTATTCTTTTTGTAATACTATATCGTTCAATATATATATATATATATATATATGTATATTGTGGTCTTCTGATTGTTAAAATTTACTGTTTGGAATTGTGATCAGTTTTTAGCTAAATGACCATATTATAGATTATTTTAATGCACACTTTTCGCTTTACGGCATTCTGCTAATGATTTATTACTTGCTGTCTATTTCACTTATAATTATCTTAGAATAAGAAAAAGATGTAAGAGGGATTTTTGTGGGTCAGTATAAAGCACTAGAGGCATTTGGCAAAATCAACAAAGCCTAGGATTGCCGATAGATGTAGTGCAGTTATGACCCAGTTATGATCCGAATTTTGCTGAAAAGGCTAGGAAAATGTGTGCGTGATGATCAGCCATTGGAAGTTAGAACTAACAAAATGAGAAATCACTGAAGCTTGTCCTCTTACAACTCCAAATTGCCCAGGAACTCACCGTCAGTCATCCTACATTAGTTTGACAATTGAAAAAAAGTGGAAAAGCTCAATCAGTGGATACTTCACAAGTTGATTGAAAATCAAAAAAATAATGTACAAAATCTTGAAGTGTCGTGTTCTCCCATTCTATGCAACAACAACGAATTTTTCTCTATTATTATCTGTGAAGAAAAATAGATTGCACATAACAAACAGCTCGTCGGAAAAGATCGTGATTACTGTTTGGGTATCTGATGCTACCGAAGCTTCTTGAATCCTAGTCGTCAGAAAATTAAATTCAGTCCAGCAAATCGATGCGATGCACCGAAAAGTGAAATGCTTCAGCTGACACCGGGGTAATCAACGTTTTAAAATTGAACCACAAAGTATTGTAATGTCTGCTACATTCACCTGACATCTTGCCAGTCTACTACTGCTCCAATTATTTCCAAGAATGCATCGCGTTAAATCATAAAGAATTTTAGTGCTACAAGAATAAAGTTTCTTATTGGCAATACATATGCTTAAAGTTGTGACAGCAACAATGGGTACAATTACATTGGCAATAATAGAACTATCTACGATGATAATATTCAAGTGTAATATTGATGCATCGTTTAATGGTAATAATATTAGTAACTACTTTAGAGATTTGAAGTAATTCTGAAAATTGTCACCACTTGACCTTTCAGATTTGCTTTTCTTAACAAAAACAATCGACAAAAAAGTACCACTTTGATTACTTCGCAAACAATAAATAACTAGAGGAATGTTAATTAACAACTTTGTTTCTCAAAAAGACCAACAAAAAATGCAGTTTTCTACCATTACATTATATAAAATTCATTTGAGTTAGTTAATTTCACTCAATTTGCCAGAAAATTAGTCTCTACTAAGCAACATTTTTGATTCCCTTGTATTTCAAGCAACCAAATAGTTGTATTCCACCGCTCCAAGAAAATTGAAACACTAATCATGAATAGTACAGCAGAATTAAGAACAGCGAGAAAGCTCCCATTTGCAAACAGAGAAATATTTCACGACAAATCACCTGAAAGTTCAAGGTAAAATGTCAAGGCCAATCCAGTGAAGACCGTAATCTATATGGATGGATCTCAGCAGTGCAGTCTTCATGATTAGTTCTAAATTTCATTGGGTTATATTACCACTCGTTTCCCAGCAGAGAGGTGGAATTACGTTCTATTATTTAACAAAATATATTTGCAGGTTCGGTCAGTTTAAAACTTGGGAATTAGTTGGGAAGTAAATGCATTCAAGCACTGATTCTTAATGCGATGAATATTAACTGGTTTCAAATGAATCAAGGAATAATATTAGCAAAACGCTAGTGATTAGTACCCGCTTAGCGAACTCATTATAGTAAGGTAATCCAGTTAACTTGAGCTTTTTAGGTTTCCCCAAATAGTTTCGTTGCAAGGGAAATGATACGGCTAGCAATGGAGAGTTTCGGCTATTGGTGGCGGATGGATAAAAAGGTTCGATGGACGGGAGTAACCGATGTTTGAGTGTTATGAAACGAACATTTCTGAACAGAAGATGAAAATATCTGCATTTTTGGAGAATTATCTCTCTATTATTCCACTGGAAACAGTTATGAAACGAGGGCGTTCATTGGAAACTGAAAATACTGCTGCTAGATGCCCCTGCATTTCTGCACGTTACATACATGCATTCACGTGTACTGTCGCACACACAGGTGACACATGCACAAATATGCACAGACGGATACAGAATGCTCCAAAGTAAAAGGTAACCGGACCATTCAAACAAGATTACTATTATTTAAACCACTGTAAACTCATATAGTTCTCCTCTACTTCAGATGCGATCACAAGCTCAGCGATCACATTTAGGATAAACAACGTAAGTGAAAAAGTTTCGCATTTTGCCACTAAAATGCTGATTCTATCCTTTTTTAAAATCCTCTACCACAGTTTCAGTTTCCCTCTCGTTCCTGTAAAGGTATTCAAAACATGTACAGCAGCAGCAGAATTACTAAACTATCAAATAAATCATCCCAGATGATACCAACCCAAATAAGTTATGATTTTTCGACAAAAACAAATACTGAAGAGGAATTTTAATTATTTTCTGTTTATGACACTCATCAAAAAATTTGCCAAAGTTAATCTCTAATATTTGAAATATTTTGAAAACATTTTGCACAATCCGACGGACCACATTTGCACCATTTACAGGAGATAAACACTTTCATTCTACCTAAGAGTCTGCGGTGGTTAGCAATCCTTCTAAGACTGAACATTTTGGACACTGAATTTTTTTCTTCTACAAAACAATTGCAATACAGGACGGCGTATTGGATGGTCATTTGTACACCATTGCAGGAATTTTCACAAATTCTATTCAAGAACAATGTTACCCGTGGTATAATAATAATAGGATGGCGCGCCAATGAGCACAACAGTAAAAATTGTGACAGAGAAGGTGAAAACAAGATTTATGCGAGGAGCGGTGGAATGAAGGGGATGCGAAGGTGGAAGTGACAATGAAGTATATGTAACTCAGGACGAGCGAAGAGAAAGAGGCATTCTGAACAACTGGGTCGCTGCACATTACAAACACCGCACAGCGCGTACTACCAAATTCTCTCCTGGATGTCCGCATTTGAACATGAATTCGAACAGTCCACATTGAGGTGCATGCATTTGGACTGCCACTATGGAAATGCATCTTCTCATCATAATTAATTATATGTGGACAGAATAAGCAACGAATAAGCATTTTTCCACGTATCTATCCCTCTATCACCCTCAATTCATTCTGCAGCAGTCATCATCTCATACGTATGTGCACATGCGTAATCCGAGCATAACAATAAGTTGATATAAGTATTCGACGAGTTACTCAGGACAAATAAGTCACAACAGATATGCAAGCGCTACAACACATAGGAAGGTAAACTATATTACATGAGCAGAAGAAACATATTTTTGAGCTTCGCTCATACTGTCTTCAATCTTCAAGAGGTCAAAAGAAAACGGATAAAATAGACGAAAGATGAAGAAATTCATTCTAAGGCGATTCTCTGAATTCTTCAAACCGATAAGGTTTAGAGACCGATAACTGATTACAAATAGATATGTTATGTGATAGTAATTTACCGATCCTTTGAACTTTGAAATTTGAATTTAAATATATACAGATATGAAATAGAATATAATAAGCAACTGGCTCACCTCACAATGAGCAATGCAAATCATCCTAAGAATGCAGCACAGAAAATGTCGCACGAACGACTAAAACTGTCAATGCTGTGTTTCCTTGGATCTTATCGGGAACAGATTATGCGTCAAAAACAGAAAAATAATGCAGAAGAATAAGTCATAAAAGTAATACTAACAATAAAAAAAAATGATCTGTGGTAGAACGGAAAACAAATTAAAAACTACAATTTCTGATACTGTGAGAACGATATAAAAATATTTGAAATAAAAGTTAGATTCAATCAAATACGTAAGTAAGAATTCTGTTGATGATAAAAATCATTTTCAGTGTGTTGTTTTCCAGTGTGATCCCAAAGAATTTCATTTAAATGATTAATGAAATATGATCGGTACAAATATGTTAGTGTTAGAAAAAATTTCGCATGTCTATCGTGAGTAACTCCGACCCAAACTTATTTATTTGCCGTTGCAGAAGACTAGTGGAGATCGACCAGCGTTTGCTATTTCTCTTTCCATCAGTAACCACAAAGTTCGCCGCATATTTTTCTCAAATTTCACTGAAATGGTGTTAGCAGCACTTTTTAACTAAATAGAAGAGCAGAGTAAAAAACGACACGGCTTATGCAATCTCAACTATAACCCAGAATATATTGATGGAAAGGGATTCCTGCACGTTAATTTAGTTAAATTAACTTTCATAACAAAGCTCGAAAAAATTTGTAAAAGAACTTCAAGACTTCAAGTTTTGTAGTCTATTTAATTTCACATCTATTAATTCACTGTCAAATAAAACACGAGTTATAAATGATTCTGGGAGGTGCTCATATTTTCAGTCTCGAGAACTGGTTCATTCAAATATATTGTCATGCCAGAAAGAATTAAAAACCAGTGAAGAATTCCTTAATTTGACCATATTTGGCTATATCAGTGATAACGGAGACAAAAACATGATTACCTAAACCTTCACAGATTTTTTGCGGAAGTAAAAAAATAATCATAACAAACAAAATGCCGCCGATACGCGAAAAATAAAGTCCAGTGAAAGGAAGCAGGCCTAATTAACCATCGTCATAAAATTTTTGCCCAGATGTAACACAATTCGTCTCCACAGTAACAATTCCAAACTTGTATATGCAGCAGAAACAATAGTCTTGTATATGCAGCAGAAACAATAGCAAACTTGTATATGCAGCAGAAACAATAGTCTTGTATATGCAGCAGAAACAATAGCAAAGGTCATCATGAAGGGAAAAACCAAAAACTAGACAAAAGAATACGAGGAAAAATAGACATTGCCAGTACCAAAAAAGGTCGTTTGAGATTTAAAGTGATCTTTGCAAATAAAATTTCCAGCTTTATTTGCAGCTAACTGCAGCATAAAAACCTAAATTATGGACTTATTCTGCCTATGGCTTAATTGCACTTTGCCAAAAACTCATTCAATCCCATTTCGACTTCATTTGAGATTTGCAAAGAAATGCCTTGATATTAAATCTTAAGTGAAAAATTTCAATTTAAATAATGGAAGGAAGTGCTTTCTGTGAACGAAAACCAAACAAAGGATTAAAACATTTGGAAAAAAACTGTTTTCGAACATCTTTTACAAAAAATTAATCCACTCTATATGTGATGGGAAGTAAATTCAGACTAAAGAAAACAAATAGGTGACTAATCTTCCAATTATCTCTACCTTACGCTCTCAAAGAATTTGTGTACCTTCATCTGATCCACACAGCATATGCAAATTTGTCCTTCACCATTCTCCTCAGCCACATCTCACCACTAAACTTTATAAATTTATTTACTTTGTACGGGATTGAAAAAGTGAAGAGCTTTCAACAAGGTCTTTTATAACTTGCTGTGCACTTTTCCATCACTATTTCCCTATGAATCAGCTCTTGGCCCAATCGTTTCGAGAACCATTCCATTCTTTAGTTAACGACAGTAGAATCAACACGTCTTACCGCTTCATTTCAAAATCTAAAGGAAATAATGGTTGCATCTAGAAGAAGCAGTGACGTCCAACCGCTCGTATTACTACAACATGAGCAGTACCTCCCACAACCGCCACCAGATTCAACGAGATAAGAAGTATTTCTAAAACTGCAGTCCTTGAAAGGGACACGAAAGTAGAAGCTGAAGCAGATAAGCATAACAATTTTATCCATCAAAACTTTGAAATGATTTAATGAATTTACAACGTGCTGTTATATCCAAAATGCGTGATTACGTAACTGTGATTAGAACGGGTATACCTTCATTCGATTTTGTTATATGTGCGAAACCACACCATTAACAGTTCCACACATTTTTTACTCTTGTTCTTGAGCGTTATAATGGAAAACCGAACTTGACTATAGCATAAAGTAACTTTCGCCTTTTTCATCTAGGCACAGAATCGTTCGAGAAAAGCACCAACAGAATAAAGAAAACAGATCAAAACTGTCTTGCCGTTTTCCTAGGAAAGTATGCCGGCTTTCAGGTACATCGAAAGCAAGCCCGAAAAAAAGTAATAATACATTCAGCAGTGATAATTACAATTGAAGTTGAAAGTACATTACTGTACACAGATCTCCTGGCAAGGTCTTTTAATGCTAGCCGTAAAACTTTCCCATTTAAATCTTTCGGATTTTGGACTGATTACTTTTACCACAGAATATTATCTTGCTAGTTATTTCAAGATCCTACAAAATTCATCTTGGCACTACTTACTTGAATGTTATCTTCCCATTATCGGATATCGAAATCGGTGTGGGAAGAAGGAAAAAGAAGTTTGGTGGTCTTTCAAAAAGATCATCATCATGATTGCTCGGAAATCCTAAATAACTCGATGATGATCTCTCAGCAATCACGTCAGACATGAAATACTTCAAAGTATGAATGTAACAGAGCGACATGATCACTAATTACTAACAAATCAGTTTGATATTACTACAAGTAGGAAATCTATTGAAATTAAAAAATGACAAAAGCAGCTTTCTGCAGGTGCCAAACTTTAACAAACATATAACAGAACAATGCAAATAATTGATCTGTAAAATTTAGGAAAAGAACTGACTACAGAAGACTGATGAGAATGCAGTCATGGCGAGTTATGCAGGTTGCCTGTGAAAGAATGCGTTTCGATCAAAGCAAATGTAGGAAAAATCCGGTTAAAGGTCTGTCTCCGTTTGGCGTCGTAGTAGATGTGATGGCGGTGATTGTTGTACTGTCCCGTCTCACTTCACTCCAACTCTATCCTCTTTTCTCCTCTCCCTTCAGTGAAGGAAGATTATAACCTTCCTCCTCTTTGCTTGTTTTCCATACTGGTTTTATATCGCCATCCCCTTGTCAATATTACCGTCATCACCTCTGTCCTCTCCCCTCATCCTTTCCACTTCAAGCACATCTTGTGCGCACAGCTCTCCATTTGACAACCTTTGTTTCGCACTCTCTTAAAATAGCATTGAACAGATCGACTAACTAAGCGACTGATTAACTAACAGATTGACTGACCGCGGTGCACTATTGTTCCTGGTATGCGTATTCCTCGGCGTCTTAATTTGCTAATTTTCGCCACATAAGACGTTTTATAAAGCATTATAACCGAGTAACTATGCAAAATATTCGTCTTCTGAGTAATCTCGGGAAACATGAATGAAAAAGCAGCACGCTCTTCCTTGTAGTAGTTAGCAGGAACAGTACAGTTAATGTAATAGTAATTAAATAATTATTCGAAGGCATTTATGAATCCGTTTTCTTTTTTAATCAAGAAATTAAATTAAACCTTATCGTCCTGATCTTTTCCCTTTGTACAACTTTCCTTCGCTTCTTCTATCCTGTCCTAATAATTAATTACATTTATTACAAATCTTGCTTTGCGCTGAACAACATAAAGACCATAAAATGCATTCCACTCCGATAAATAAGTATCGATTTAGTTGAATGTACATGAGGAGAGATGGGAAAATGCAGTTGAAACAATATTTGATTTTCACTTCTCTGCCTTCTCCGTTTTGCCACTCAATTTCCATATTCTAAAAGGAAATTTGTTGTATTTATTACCGACAAAATTTCTGGTTCGCGGTGCGTACTGTGATGTAAATTTCTTTGAAGTGGCAGTGGATATAATTAGTTCACCAGAAAGATCAGAACTATCAGAAAATTGAAAACTTTAAAAATGTTGCAAATCAATTTTAGCCTTACAACAACGCACCGGTTGCCATAATCTCAGTATTCGTCAAGTGGTACGGTTGAATGTTGAACTTTATAACCTCTTGCATGCTGATTCAAATTCAAAGCAATGAATCACAAAGAGTCAGAACAGAACTATATTCTTAAGAACCAGTGCTGCATACATGTTTCCGATCTGTAATTTGTGGTTTAGCAAAAAAAGCTGAATAAAAAATTAAATGCGCTTGCAGTTCCATTATCTTTCTCTTGTTCATATATTTTTAATGCTTTCTGTTTTTAATTTATGAATGAGAACATTAATGGAATAGCAGAGAACGATTGGTGTAAGTTGATGTTTTCTGGAATGTTGGGTAACTGACTAGAAGTGTCACAAGTTAACAGTTTTGTGAGAATTTAATTTTTTGAATTCGAAGTGAAACATAACGAAAAGAAATAAGGCTGAACTCCAATTCATTATCATTTGAAAACGTGTCATAAACAGAAGGAATCAACTTTAAAAATCAAAATTTAAGCCATGTGAAATTTTTACTCATGAAGATTCAAATATCATTCATTATGGCAACACTTGATCTAACTCTAAATGGAAAAACGTCACGTTTCATCCTTTGTTCTAAACTTTTTTTGAAATTTATGATAAGTGGCATTCCATGACTGGTTGTTCATCCCGTCATTCATTTTTTTGAAATCAATTTTTAAAATTATAAATTAATTTCATAAATATTCACAACAGTGGATGGGGAGTCGTTACAAAAGGCTGCGGATTTGAATGTAGCATATCAGTCACATTAAAGCATGGTTGAGTTAATATCTCAAATTATTCAGACATAATGAAAAATTTTTTATTCGCTCAATACTATTAGGAAATATTGAATAGTAGCAGCAGGTTAAAAGGGAGACTAAAGTATTGTTGTTAAATGCTTATGATTATATCTGTGAAAGAAAATATCAATATGCTAAACTTGATGATTTGTCATATTTTTATTCACTTACAAAATTCAGCGAAATTTTTCGTTTCACTGAAACCTTCAAAATTAATGATTCATCACACTTTTTCCACCAGTGCTCTATATCTATTTTCTTCCCTAATAATACGGTTAATTGACTGTTCAAAAAATTTTGGAGCGCTAAATAGTTATGATTTTTCATAATAAGTGATTTTTTCTTTTTTTAGGTGACACTCCATCAGCTTTTAAAGAATTGTCTACTAATTTTAAATTCAGATACTGAGACCTTAGCTACTACTTTTCCGTTCCTGGGCTGAGATTATGGAACCACATTTTTTTTTTTTTAGGAGACAAAACCTTTGTCAGTCACGTTTGTCTTCAAAGTATTAATTTAAGTCACATCATTCACCACAGTATTTCTTTTGGGCTGGTCGGATGCTTGCTTCTTTTTATGAAAAACATCTTCTACAAAGCCAAAAAAGAATTCAAGGTTTTTTTTGTAACAAATGGGCAGATGCTCACGTAAATGAATATAACGACAAGAGAACAAAGCACGAACTCCAGCTGTTCCGAAGAGAAACCATTTATATAAGCAACGCGTTGACGTAGGAAATTTCAAACCTCCGACTTCCAAAGCATTTACCTTAAGCAGGTGGAAAAAAAACGATCTTACTCTACTTTGAGCAAGGTTAAATGCCAAAGCAAGTAGGTGCATGTTGCTTTAAGTTTTGCAAAAAATTTCATGTTACATAGAATTAATTTTGACATATTCCAGTTTATTAAATTCTAGATGTATCAATGCTTTTGATTTGTTGGTGTTATTATCTTAAAATATTCGGATATTGTGTTTCCAATTTTGAAAAATGTTAAAATCAAGGAAGAAAATTTACAGTATCTCAAAATTATGCGGGAAATTCTCATCAGATCGGTTTAAAGCTTCGTAATTATTTCCTAGGCGATCTATTCCATTCGAAAGAAACTTGAGGAGAAAACATGCTTATCCTGCAATTCCGTTTAGAAAGAAGTGGTGGTTTACATTTTCAGTCTGTGTTTAAATTTCTGTTCTCTCAAGAATCTTCAAACTTCCATATGTTGGTCGAAATTTCATTCGATACATATCACCAAGCAAGTATTTTCCTTTTGCTCGACCGGCTAATTTTATTTTCGATTTTTCTAGTTCAGAAACTGCTAAGAAGCTATATATCATCATTTCAAGGAATAAATTTCTTGGATTTTTAGTAGTTGTACTTGAACTTCTAATATTATTTAGAAAGGTTCAATAATTTTTTTTCCTGAAATGTTTCTTTTTTCTTAATTTTAAATTTATTTTTGATTCACAAGTTCGAAATGAGTTGATTTTGTTTTTGTTTTTTTTCTTTTTTTTTTATAAATTTCACTAACAAGAGAAAGATTCGCAGTTTCAACCCCTAAAATCTAAAGTCCCTTAGAATAACGCTACAATTTGTCAGTGATCATTACCATTCGAAGGGATAATAAAAAGTAATGAAGTTTGGGCGCTCTCATAAGCCGAGTTTCATCTGAATGAGTTTTTAACTTACGCTCAATAAGTGGAAAGAATCGGTTTACCTTTTTCGTCCCACAGCAATGGTAGGTCATTCAATAAAGTTGAATCCCCATAGCATACCACAGTCCATTCCATTCCATTTTAGTATTTATATAAATAGATGCATAGCTAGAAAGAGAAAGAGCACACATTTCTATTTATGATGCTTCATTTGTTCATATCAAAACTTTGTATTTCTTAAAAATCCCAACTTTGAGTGCAATTTCTTCATTACTTATTCTTAAAAAAGTATTTTGGCATAACATATCTGAATTCAAATTAAGAAATGCTGGAAATACGACGTTCCTGCTATTTAAATGAAAAACACTTGCTTGTAGTTGCTTTGATTTTTATTTCAACTATTCTTTGGCTCGCCAAAAAATACCTCTGAATATCCGGAAACAAATTTTAACAATTCAGACGTTTGTAGTGCTTCTTCATGTAGACTGGTAGTTCAAGACACTGGATAGTGATGAATGCGTCCGAGAATTTTTGTTGAGATAATAAATTTGGCCTTAAAATGCTAGTACTATGGTATTTCCCGTATGATAATGACTTGAACGCTGATGATGCCACAACTTCATGACTTTCCAAGTCTTGTTAACAAATCTGTACGCAACTAGCATCATGAAGCGATTCATTGCGAAAGAACAACGTGCTTTGTTTTACTGGATGCTCCGTTTCAAATATTTCTCATCTCTTCAAGGCATTATCTTATCAGACACTCAAAATTAAAAAAAAAAAATACTTACGGTGCGAGCTTTAATATTCTACACTGCGCTCAATCGATCTTTATCGATATATCCTTTTTTTCTTAATTCGTTTTAATTTTTAATTCTTCCACTTATTATTGTGATGATCTTAATAGGATTAATAAGATTAGATACTCTTACAAACTGCTGTCGTAACACAAGAACTTAACTTGTTGGAAAATCGCCAAAAAAGTAAAATGAGCGTCGGTTACAAGCCCTTTGTGCGATAGGATTTTTTATCTATAAGGATCGACAGAATATTACATTTGCCATCAATAATCTACAAAATGAAGCAGAAATTGAAGAAGCCTAAGCCAGCAATATACCAAATGAATTTTTTCATAATGTGTTGCAACTCAGTTCTGGGAGCTGAAATCCACTAGTAACTGCAGCATCCTTTTCGTTTCATTTGAATTTTGAATGTATCTGAATGAAAGTGGTAATAATAGCGCGTATTTTTTGGTATCGTCCCTACATAAAACAAGAGGATACGGAATGTAAGCAAGGGAACCAGATGATTTCCTAAGAAACAACGATAAATTTGAGGATATCTTAATTATGATTCGACTATGTAGAGAGCGACAAATTTGGACAAACCAAACAGGACAAATTTGGACAGCTAAAAAAATCCAAGAAGATAGAGAGGGGCTGCTTTTAGTTCTTGTCTAATTGTCCTCAGTACTGATCATACGGAATTATATAGACCAGTATTTGAGCAGTTACAAAGGATATTCTCTAAGTAACAGGGATCTGTAAATCGTAAATCACTCCTGGGAATCGATGATTAATAAACATGGTATAGCTTCATAGCTATTAGTTGAAAAATGAAGAAATCAATGGGTGATATGCTTGACTTGTAATGAGCGGCACTTAGCATGTGCAAGCTGAAAGTACCAAGCCACTATATTGCATATTGGAAAATATGTGGAGAAATCGATCGTTAGCACTTCTATAGAATGAAAAAAATTAAAATATTTTATAAAATACCTAAACAAAGGAAGAGAAGGAAGTAATACCAGGACACAATAAAGACACTAATGCGATTGTATATCAAGAGTTAGCCGGTAGAGAGAGACTCTACTAGGAACCGAGTCCCTTTTCTGGGCTTTTTTTTTCTCTTACCATCATCATTTCAACTTGAATTATTACTGCATTTAAAAGCTTGCATCGCATAATTTTAGCAGTTCAGCTGCTCCAAGCACCTTTCTTTTTGCTGTCATCCTTCTTAGATACTTTTCTCTACCTCTTCCCTCTCCCTTCTCCCTTCCGTCCTACATTTCGCCCAGTAAGCAATGTATTTCACTGCTACTTCATTACTATCAAACCTTCCCGCTTTCGCATGGTTATTGCCACAATCTCTCTTCTCCATTTCAAAAGGTACTTGTATTTACAAAATTCCAATTTTCATTAACATGAAACTAACCTTTGGAAATTTTACTTTGGCGATTTTAAATTATAAATTTATGAGAATAATTTGACGATATTAGGAAAAATATTAGAGAATATGTGAATCAGATACGTCAGTAACGTTTCGAACCGAATGCCCATTTGGAAGGACCACATAGCTCGGTTAATACTTCTTGTTGCAGTGTTACCTTGGTGCAATAATACATCCAGAATGATTCTGTCACGCGGTTCTCTTCAATAAATGCTAAGTAACTAATTGTCGAATTAAGAGCTCTGAAAGGATTTCAAACCAAATTAAAGTAGTAGCAGTAAAGGTAATTGAAAAAGTGGCACCTACTAGCATAACTTTAGTGGTCAGGTAGACCACAAAAAGTATCTCTAATATAAGGAAACGACACTAAATGTTGATTTTGCTCGAAACTGACGGACTGTAAACTTGACAAAAGATCTTTAATCTTCATCTTGTTTATAAATTGATTGGGTAGATGAAACATTTTTCTAAGAACGGTCACTTCTAAATTTTTGGTTTCAAAATTTAATTTCAAATGAGTTTTTTTTTGTCAGCTACTCACATGTTTTTTATAAAACATTATAAAATAAACAAAGTTCACAGAATTTTCTTTAAGAAATTATTTTCAATAACTGCAGTAAAGAGCAATACTTTTTTCCGTCTATGAGTGAAGCTTTATATAACACAAATGAACTTTCCGAACAACTTTTGTCATTGATTAATGCAGATTTATAAATAAAAGTTGGATGTTGTTTTGATCTAATCAAAACCAATGAAGCGTGATTCCTTAATAATTCAAAACCTCGTGCATAATTTCTAAAAAAAAGATCAGCCAGTTATCTATTATGAATTACTTTGTGCTTACATTAAAATTTGATAACCACTTGCACAATAATATAAAGCTTAGGAGAATCGAAAATTATGGAGTTTTTTCGAAAGTGTAATGTTTTATTGAAAATGCACAAAATGCACCCAAAATAACTGAACTGAGCAGTTCTTGCAAAAAATTGCTTTCATAAAATAGGGCAATGAAAAATTTCCCGCACTAGCTCCAGAAAAATTGCACATATGGATCTCTCGTCTTGAATAATAATATTTAAGGTTGGAAAGCGAAACTTAACATTGTATAATTGCTATATCATCTTATCGCAAAAGAATGCAAACGGAGCAAAGATAGCAATCACTATTTCTTATCTTTTTATCCTCATCCAGACTTTGTGGTAATTAATATTTTACTTCGTATGTTTAGCTCACGCAATGATTTAAAAAAAAAAAAAATGCGAAAATATCGTCTTATTAGAAGCTATCCATTAATAAACATGTCTATTTCTATCAAAAAAAATA